TCCAACCCCATTGACATGGCATCCTTTTTTCAAATGCTTAAGGACGGACAATCCCACCGGCCAATACGATCATCAAAGGAACACCGAAACAACCAAAAACGCTCGAACCTATTAATAGAGTCCAGCCAGCACAATCCGAACACATGTAAGGTGTGGCCACCTCAAAAAAAAAACTGGCAAAAACAACTGCTTCTTCCTTAGAACAAGCCTCTCAGAGTCAGACCCCAATCTCTGGAACAAGGCTTTAGTAAGTCGAGCTCCCAGCTCGAGTCAGGCAGCACATAGATCGACCCAGATGGAAATACCCCCAGTCCACACATACACACACACGACTCCATAAAGAAAGGTCACGATCGCACACCTCTACCACGCCAACCCCACAAAGGAAGAAGAAAAAAGAATAGAGAAAAGGCACAGATTGAAGCCATCGCCTGCGACAAATCCCATCCCGACTGCAGGAGTTAAGTCAAGTTAAACAGCACAGCACTTCAGCCTGAACAGAAGAGCATCACCTGCGCGCACTGCGTCCTCGAGGAAGCCGGCGAAGAGCCGACAGCGGGAACCGAAGCAAAGCCGCAAGAACCGTACATTTCTCTTCTCTCTCTCTCTCTCTCTCTCTCTCTCTCTCTCTTTCTCTCTCTCTAGTCATTGCTCCGATATCTTCCTGGCTTTATGCTCTCTGTCCGAGAGCGAGAGCTGTCAGCTCGCGAAGTCCCGTCAAAGGACAGGACACCCCCAACGAGAGACACGTAGCGGGGACCCACGGGGGCGGGACCCACGCTTGTGATTGGCGGGCCCCCACCGTCCACATCACCGATCCGTAGCCGTCGGCTCTTATTCCTTTCCCCCCCCGCGTGAATCTCTTGAATGAATAAACCGAGGGAGGAAGCAAAGCACCCCCCCCCGCCGTATCGACGCCTCGCACGTGGCTGGGCCGTGCGATCTTGCGGAATTCGCCTGCTGATCGCCGCACGCGGCGGCGCCTGATTGGACAGGGGGACGCTGGTGGTGCGATTGTACATCACCGGTGGCTGGCCCTGCCACGTGTGCCGGCGTATAAAAATTAAATTATTGTAATCTCAAACCTTTTTTTTTGTTTTTTTGGGTTGGTCGAATATCTCAAACTTGAATTATTTGAAGCATCGCCTTACTTGTGCCGTGCGGAGAGTACTCGTAAAGCATTCCCCAATACAGATTATAAGTCAATTTTCAAAACATCGATCGGACTTCGGCCAGTTTGTTTTACAAAAACTGAACTATCTAGAAATAATTACTTATATCATTTACAAAATGAAAGAACGAAAAAAAATTTCATCTTCCACGAAATTATTTTGATATAATTTTTTATCGAAAATAAGAATATTTTTTTATTATCTAATTATTGCAAGTAATATAAGTGATTATTTTTAAAAAAATACATTTTAATTATTCATTTTCCTTTAAATAAATGAATTTAAATATAAAGATAAGGCAGCTGTCCAAAATAAGATGATTGAACTGGGGATAATACATTCAATTCAAGGGCTTTGAAAGCGTTTTTATTTTGAAAATAGTTTTCGGCTTGTCTTTTTTCTTTTTGAGTTTCTAAATGCATGTTTGGTGTCCAAAAATGAGATTTTTTTTTTTTCTGAGTGAAAGTTTTGACTCAATGTTTAGGATAATTACACAAGACTCCTTGAACTTTGGAGCGAGCACACGTTTGTCGTGAAACTGCCAACCGTGGCACAAAACCCTGACGAACTCATTTTGTTACTATCGCTAACCCACTGTTATTTTTTCCTTTAGCAAGTACGACGAACATGACTTTTAAAAGTTAAAAGAGAATTGTAAGTATTATTTTATTTAAAAGAATCTCTCTTTTTAACCTCAATCGCTATGAAAAGAGGGGAAACTAAATTGACTTATAGAGTAATAACAAGATAAAATAAAATATGAATCTACATAATAAGATTAAGTACTGATAGTTTCTTCAAATTTCATAAATATAGTCACTCTAAAAGCACTAAATAAGATTACCTTGAGAAGAAGAAGGAAAGGCTCAGTAAAAAAGGGAATTTCAATATAAAAAGATCAAGTAACAAAAAATGACTACTCATTATGTACTTCTAAATTGTTGATCGATTCAAAAAATATGATTGATAAATAAAATTTAAAAAAAAAATAAAAACGAGATGATGTATATTATTAAAGGATAATGCATCACAGGAAAATAATTCAAATGATACAAATGAAAAGATTAATATGTCATTTCTCTGGTGGGTCATTCATGGTTTTGTTTGTTTTTTTTAGGGATAATGACACAAACAACCCCTGAACTTTGACCCAATGTGCAATTTGGTCCCTGAACTTTTAATTTGTTCAATGTAGTCCCTGAACTTTAGCCTAATATTCAATTTGGTCCTTGAACTTTTAATCCGTTCAATGTGGTCCCTGAACTTTTAGCACATGTTCAATTTAGTCCCTGAACTATATGAAAATGTTCAATGTAGTCCTTGCACTTGAATTAATAGAAGGACTACATTGAACATTTTCAAATAGTTCAGGGACTAAATTGAACACATACTAAAAGTTCAGGGACCACATTGAATAAATTAAAAGTTCAGGGACCAAATTGAATATCAGGCTAAAGTTCAGGGACTACATTGAATAAATTAAAAGTTCAGGGACCAAATTGCACATTGGGTCAAAGTTCATGGACTATTTGTGTCATTTTCCCTTAACGGAAACACCCTACCCGTGTAGAGCAACAAACGCGTTGAGAGTGTGAAGGAAATTGACTTAAACACTTATATAATCCTTCAATAAAAAGATTTCAATTGTTCAATTGTGATCGCTTAGAATTTATTTCTCTCCAAATCGACTTGTCGCATGCTCCGGGCGTTGCCTTCGACATCACAAGGTTCCAGTCGCATAGCTGAGCCCGATCTCCATTTGAGGTTGCGCAATTGTCATCGATTCTCTCTACCCCTCTCCTCTCTCACTTGCGCGAACCGCTCCGTCCAAATTTCCTCCTCATCGAAGGCCTGATCGAGTAAATGGTCAATGTCTAGTTCAAGGGGCGGAAGCACTTCCGTGCACCCGAGTTCGAGACCTCCCTGAAGACCACCGGCGAGAAGTTGTATGAACAGGGGAGCCTCGACACCGAGTTCACCAGTGCCTAAAGCTCATTTGAAATATAAAGATTACGAGGATGTACACGGTCGCGGACATTGTCCCAATCTTGAAGGATGACTACTCGAGCCGGCAGACTGGGGATATACTGAGGGCATTGGTTTGGACAGTTATTTGATAATGAGGAGCAATGGACTTACGGAGTTTGCTTTCGTTCCTACCATTAGGATGTGTTATAAGTTTAGGGGTTCGCCCGATGTCGCAAAGGAAACGCGAGTGGGGCGATGGATTATATACCTAGTGGGGTGTGCCTGGGAATAGCCAATTGTACACCTAGCGGCATCGTTATTCCAAGTGCAAGTATTAAAGTAAACGGTTGGGTTTTTGAGTGATGTCCTTCTTCATTGGACAAAATGTGTTGTTTGGCATAGGCCAAATCAATATTCTTCAATCTGACAAGGCTTTTATCTCTTGAAGATTATTTATTCAAATGGCCTGTTAGCAAACCACTGCAAAAATACAGGCTAAGATACTTAATCTTTACAGCTCATACAGCCAAATGCCGCTGGTTATTTTGACTGCTTTGTGAAGGTGCTTTTCTTCAATTGTAAGCTACTAAGATGTGCAAGTGTGTCAATCGAAAGAAAAGAATACCGTTGGTCAGGGAAAAAAGTTGAACTTGCTGTCCGTTCGTTCATAGTTACTCATACAAGGTAGCATTTCATAATTGCTGATACAATTGAGTTGTTCAAAGGAAAAGAACCGCTATGGCCATGGTATTTGATACTGATTAATATTTGTGTGGATGTTTCATCTTGAAGAATGCCCGGTTTTCAGTGTCGATCGAGATAGCTCAACGTGTGAAATGAAAACGGAAATGCGGTATATTGTCGTCCAAACGTGATACGATAGAGGCTTGCTTATTTGGGCCGGGTAGTTGACATTGGATGGGAGTATCCTGTTTTTTTAGGACAATATCAACGGTATCAAATTTCAGAACAGCTCAGGTTTCAAAAGCTCTCTCCTGCTCGTTTGTCAATGAACTCAAACTATTAGCTTACAGAGTGTACCGATTCTCCTTTCAGTCCTAGCCAATCTCAAGCCAACAGTATCTCAGCATTCTCTTTACAGCATATTCTTCTTCATCTAATGGTAAGTCTATGAGTGAAATTATCCGGCCAAAAAGAAAAGAAAGAATAAAATCCGACTATGAGTTCATCGGACCTCCGACAAAGTAAATAAAAGTAATGTGCTACCAATGCTCCAAGATGAAACTCCAAAAGAACCAAGCTTGTCAATTGCCAACTAATGAGAGGTCCCAGAACATGACCACATGGAGATGGATATGAAAGACCTTTGACAGTTAACCATTAGATTGTTCATCATCAAAGTCATATCTCTATACAATCGCAGAGTCTTAGCTTTGGCTTCTTTAATTTCTTTATCTTATGGACGGAGTGCCAAAAACAGGACCATTATCATCATCGGTTGGGTACTAACATCCTAGGACTCTCTTCACTGAAAAAAGACAATCGTAAGCTCTTGTATCACATTTGGACGACGATAATTGCGTTTACGTTTCATCTCACACATCAGGTACCTTGATCAACACTAAAAAAACCAGGCCAATCTTCAAGATAAAACAACCGCATAAACATCAAGCAGTATCAAAAGACAATCTAATGGTCATAGCAATTCTATTCCTTTGAAACAACTAACTTGTACTTGTAATTATGAACAATTACCTTGTACTCGTAATTATGATTGAACAGAGAGCAAGTTCAACTTCTTTGACAGATGATCGACGGTTTTCTTTTCTTCCAATTGACACACTTCCACATCTTTTCTGTGTGTGTGTGTGTGTGTGTTTATATATATGGAGTTTACAATTAAAGAAAAAAGCACTTACAAGTCAGTCAAAATAACAAGTAGTATTTAGATGACATAAGAAAGTAATAATATTTCTACATCTATATCAGAAACTAGCAGGTATTTACAGGGCTGCAATGCAAAGGTTTGCTAACAAGCCACACAAATAAATTATCTACAAGTGACAAAGACTTTCGAATAGAAGAACACTGATATATCTTATGCCAACCAACACATCCAGAGAAGGTCATCGCTCAAAAATCCAACCACTTACTATAGTACTCGCAAGTCATCGGAGAAATGATGCCTCCGGGCATACAATGGGCTATCTGTGGGCACACCCCGCAAGGTATCGAAGCCATCGCCCCAACTCTCAATTTCTTCGTGGCATCAGGTGACCTCCTACACTTATAACACATCCTACCAGTCGGGATGGAAGCAAACTCCCCCAGTCCATTGCTCCTCATTTCGATCACGTCATTGTCCAAAACCAATGCCCTGACGATGTCCCCAATATCCTGACTAGAGTAGTCTACCTTCAGGACCCTAGACCTCCGAACGGCGTCCGTGACTGTGTCCACTGTCGCAATCTTTAGATTCCGGATGTGCTTCAGGCACTGGTCCTTGAGGAAGTTGATGAACTCGGTATCGAGGCTCCCCTCATTGTACCACTTCCCACCAGTGATCTCTGAGGAGGGCTCAAACTCGGAGGCAAGGAAGTGCTTTCGCCCCTTGGACTGGACAGTGGCAACCTCCTTGATCAGGCCTTTGCTGCGGAGGGACTTGAGAGACTTGTCAACGACGTTGCCGGGGAGGCTAGTCTCCCGCTTTATGTCCCTCGACCAGATGCCCAAGTCTTGCTTGCTCAGGATTAGATTGTAGAGGATCTTCTCTTGTTCGGTCATGGACAGAGCAGGAACTTTCGAGTCTGGTCGCTTCCTTTTGCTCATAGCTGTCACTGAAGAGAGAGAGAGAGAGAGAGAGAGAGAGAGAGAGAGAGAGAGAGAGAGAGAGAGAGAGAGAGAGAACACGTATAAGTTCAATACATTATCGAAATTGTTAAGTCTTAACCAGACAAGAAAATAGCTTCCTCCCATCGCAACGCGTATGTCAGTGACCGTGAAAAGAGTTGCTTATAGCTTCGATCAAAAAATGGAACAGCAAAGGGGGAAAAAGACAGAGGACATTAATCTCAAGCTCAAAAGCGCCATTGGCCATTAGCCACAAAAGCACGGCTACTTGAATAAGAGCACTGAAAATTGAAGCAAAGGCGATGAGATAGAGGAGACCAAATAGAACGAAAAATAACGGAGAAATTAAAAATCACAGATGTCAATGCATTGGCCACTGCCCGGAGGTGGGAAAAAGTGCAACGTTAGACCGAAACCCTGTGATAGAAAAGCTAATTAGAGAAAGTGCAGACATGAGTTACTGTTCAACAAAGATCCTGGCAAGAAAACCCTTCATCAATCCATTACAAAGTGATGAAATCTACGACCTAAACTGACCATGTGACATTGTTTTCAATCATCGATTCAGTAAACGAAACAAACCGCCAAAACATAGCCGAAAGAACACATCGACAAAGCGTGGCATAAGGAATTCAGAATTAGCTCAAACTACATCCAGCTTTCGACATAATTCTCAAGCCTCAAAGCCTTGCTTATCAATGTCCTTGCTCAAAACTTAATCCGAGCAGCAGCAAATCATCAGTCCTCAGCAGAGAGGTTCAACTGCCAATGACTAGCCACAGCAGAGATGAAGGCAATGGCGAAGATCAATGACTAGGGTTTTCGTCGGGCGTTTCGGGTGTCTGGGAATTCTACACGGCCCTAGTAAGGTATATTATCACCGAGTATTCAAGCAACATGGGATTATGGATCGGCACGGGGACGGTGAACAAGTCCCCCGCCCCCCCCCAGCGGCGGAGATTACTCCGCCGCCGCCCCGGGCTGGGCGGCGGGGCCCTTGCGCGGGGCGACGGCGGCCGCCCCATCGGAGGCAAGATTTCGGGAACAATTCTTCGATCAATTCTTTTTCTAGAATTATCCCTGTTCTGACACAATTCGCCAAGTTTCACAGCACAAAGGCAAGGGCACCTGAGGTCAAACGACGACGGCAGGGGTCTGCGCGAGGTCCGGGAGTGGCGTGGCGTCGCTGCGAGGTGGCGGCGGCGGCGGCGCGCGCTGCGGAGCAAGTCTGGTAGAGAGCGATGGTCTGGTTTTGAAGAGGCTGGAGTGGAGGCTGGTCTGAGTAAAAGGGTTAATACTACAAAAAATAACACGATAAATTTACTTTAAATTAATTTTTTCACCATAAAAAACTTCGAACCGATATACCTATAACAAATTTACCCTCCATTAATTTATCTTAAATTTTACCGTTAAATTACTAAATTGGATGACATGTGATAGTTGACGAGTGTACTGGTTTACGGTTATACCTTCTGCTTGTCACTGATTAATCAATTTACGATTTTTTGTGATATTAATCCAATATAACGGGGGTAAATTTGTCGCAAGTGTACTGATTTGATTTTTTATGGTCAAAAATTGATTTGTGGTAAATTTGTCACCAGTTTCAAATTTTGTGGTCAAAAATTAGTTTGAGATAAATTTATCATAGGCGTACCAGTTGGGTATTTTTCACGGTATTAACCCTTAACAACAATGTTATTTCATATTTAAGTTGCCTAGTGAAGACAGATGATTAATTAATTACCAATTAACTGTACAATTTTCTCTGCTAAAATTGCTTGATTTGCTCCTCCAAATTAATATTTTCAAATGATAGACAGATATATATACAAACAAGGCTCATAAAATAGATTTATTAAGGTTATAGTTATATTAAGATTTTTTTGAAGTAATTATCCACACCATCTTATATTTTTTTTTATATTGTTATCCTAATTGATTTTTCGAATTAACTCTATGTGAACGAGACTCGTGAAGTGTCTCCATTAATTTGACAGTGTTAACTAAACGTACCATAATGACGGGATAAATGTAGGTTTTTGCAGATATTAAATTACAAAAGAACATTGTAGCGATCGTTACTCGTTAGTAGTCAACTTGACTCAATGATCTTTGCTCGTCGAGTCTAGTTTAATAGCTACTCTTACCATTCACTTTTGAAAAACATAAGCTGATTACAGAAAGAGGTGGTCATTAAGTAATGGGAAAATTTCAAAAAAGGACCCAAAGTGGGGTCATTTTCCCAAAAGATGGTCCAAAGTGGACGTAGTGCCAAATAAGGGCCTGAAGTGCCTAATCAGTCTCAAATTGGGACCCGAAGTTCCCAATCAGTCTCAAGTTGGGGCCTGGCTTTGCCGGCCGGTCAAATGCTCACCGGCCGGCGAGCAAGTTACTGTTCCGGCGAGGGCAGTTTTGTCCAAATAAAATCTGAATCAAAGGAAAAGGCAATTTTATAAAAACAAAACTTGCGTTTTTCTTTTTCCAACCCCAACCCACTTCTGATAAAAAGAAAATCCTCAATCCACTCTAATGAACGAAAGGGATGACCTGAAAGACTGAGGCGGTGGGTGACCGGCGGTGCGTGACCGGTCGGCGGCGTGCGATCGGCGGCGGGGGCAGCGACGTGTGACCGGGCGATCGTGTCTTTCCTTCACCCATCTTCTACAGCTACAAGAATTGATCCTCCGTTCGTGCTCGCATTCGAAGGGTTGACGGTGAAGTTCCCCGCCTCCACGACATTCTCTGCGATTTTGCACTTACCAAATTTGCTCTGGGTTCCTCTTTCGGCTCATGAATGTTTCAATTCGGACAAAATCCGTAAGTGTCGAACGTGCGTACGAAGATTCCTGATCTCGTCTCCATCCCGGAGATGCTATTTTGCGGCGTGCTCCTAAGTTCGCTGGACATGTCGAAATGGTAAAGTGCGCGCATATTCATTGTTAATCTCTGCCGTCCAAGAACAACGATTCAGTCTGCAATGCGGACTGGCTTTTGTTTTGGAGCGATCTGCTGAATCGGTGTGTTAGGTCGGAGGTGGAAGATGTGTTCTGTCGCTTTACTGATGTTGTGGGAACAGATGAAATTGGAGAATTGAAGCAAATTTACCTGTATCTGAATAAATGTCGTTGTTTTCTCTCTTTGAAGTTGGAAGAAGGCTCTCTGGCACAAACAATCTCTTGAACATGGATTACCTCTTTGGGGTGGCATGAAAATAGGGATTAGAGGATGCACCTCAGCGGAGAACCTCTCCTACGATTCACACAAAGCGTTCGTGTCTTTCGTTGGGTGAATCCGTCGAGGTTAGTTTTCCAAATTGGAGCTCTGATTTGAAATCCTAATTTTTCTAATCTTCAAATTTCTTTTGTTTCTCAGTTCCTAAATTGGTTCAACTTGTCTTTCCTCCGTCCAAAAGAAGGCGATTGCAATATTTGAAGTAACATGTTGACAAGGCGTGGGCATGTCGTGGAATACTACAGTAACAGTAGCGACGACAGTGAGTTGATTATTTATAGTGCATTTTCTGATTGTAAAGGAATAAGCCGTGGTCCCTTCACGTCCTCCGTGGTCCATACTTTTCAATTTTTTTACTGTTTTCATGAACCCACTATCTCATGTTTTATCGTTTATTGCATGAACCCCATTCTTAAATTGTGGAAGTAGACTACAATTTCTCTATGCTAGATTTCACGCAAAGCCCATTCTTAAATTTTGCGAGAAAAGGTGGGTCGCAATTGAAGGAATACTGTTTATCACTCGCTAAAGAAAATTTTGTGAGAGTTTGTTTTGTCCCTTCCTAAATTTGTTTCCATGGATGTCAGTTTCCTAAATTGGTCCATTTTTTTATTAAACCACGATTTAATTTGTCTTGATAATATGTGTGGCTTCTCATAAATTATGTGAAAAGATGTATTGGGTTTGCTTCATGCGGAGTAGACATGCTCTATTTGGAATGCTAGCTGCGAGTATTCCACTCGGAGCAATTTGTAATCGTGGTCTAATTTATGGACCAGTCTTAAATAAAATTTTCAATTTATGGACCGGTTTCATTATCGGATTTAAAGTTTTCCATCAAAGTCGTTTCCAAATGTTGCAAATGATAACAATTTTCTTCCTTACACTGCTTTATATAAGGCTTTTTTTTCCCTACTTATACGTTACGGACGGGTTCTTTTGAATATGTTGTGATTGCAAATTGTGTTTCCTTTGTGTATAGATTTAACTTGGTGTGATTCTGTTTAATTTATATACGGATTTGGAAACGTATTGATTGTTTTTGCTTCCATTTTGCACCAGGCGAGGGGTGTGAAGAAGTGAACTATACCATGTCTGATAGTAGGTGTGTTGATGGCATTGAAGAAGATGGATTTGACATTATTGATCTTGATGAATTATACAGAAGAAATGTACGATGTATTGGGGGTGAAGGTTCAATGGGGAGGGGTATGGAGGTTGGAGAGACTAGTTTGCATGTAGATACATTATCTGATAATGTAGATTTCCTGAATATGAGTAGTCAAGTTGAGTATACACATCCTGAGTACAATGCTGAGGTTGATATGGAGAATCTTGTCTTCAAGTTGGGGATGTACTTTAACAATGCTAAAGAGTTTAGAGAAGCAGTTAGGAATCATGCCATAAAAAATGGGAGACGGGTGAGGTTCACTAAGAATACACCTAAGAAGTTAAGAGTAGTGTGTTCCGACGGTTGTGATTGGCTCATATATGCTTCCAAAGTGCAGAGGGAGCATACTTTACAAGTTAAAACCTTTAACCCCGTGCATACATGTAATAGAGCACTATATGTTCCTCAAGTAAGCTCTAAATGGTTGGCAAACAAGTATTGTGATAGGTTGAGGAATAATCCAACATGGCCGGGTGCTTCACTGAAGAAAGCAATGGAGTCAGAGAATGTTTTGAAGCTGTCCAAGACAATGGTCTACAAAGCTACGGCTATAGCAATGAGTATGATTACAGGGAATGAAGATGAGCAATTTCGGATGATTAGAAGTTATTGCCAAGCACTTCTTGATTCCAACCCAGGATCCACCTGTGTAATCAAGAGTGAGCAATGTCAGGACCAATTCAAGTTTAGAGGAGTCTACATATGTCTGGATGCATTGAGGAGGGGTTTTCTAGAAGGATGTAGGCACTTTGTAGGGTTTGATGGTTGCCACTTGTCATCTGGCTACAAGGGCATACTTCTAGCGGCTGTTGGCATAGATGGAAATGATCAGATGTATCCATTTGCATGGGCAGTCGTTGGACAAGAAACATACAAGACATGGCACTGGTTTATTAGTATGATTGCCGAAGATTTGGGAATTACAGACCCTGCAAATTCAAAGTACTGGACCTTTTTGTGTGACAAGCAAAAGGGATTGGTGCAAGCACTAGCAAATGTAATGCCTGAAGCAGAAAATAGATTTTGCTTGAGGCATCTTTACGAGAACTTCAGGCTGCATCACAAAGGACTAGAACTTAAAATTTTGGTTTGGAAGGCTGCCATGGCCACTAGGGTATGTGATTTTGACTTGGCAATGGAAGAGCTTAAGGCAGTTGATGGAAAAGCTTATGATTGGTTGTCCCAGAGACCACCGGTGCAATGGATCAAGTCCCACTTCAGGACAGGATCAAAATGCGACGCTTCCTTGAATAACTGGTGTGAAAGTTTCAACAAGAGCATCATTGACGCCAGAGACAAGCCTATAATCACATTGCTTGAAGCTATAAGAATGCAACTCATGGAGAGGATTCATAAGCAAAGGGATGGATTGGCTAAGTACTCTAGTGTGATTTGTCCTAAGATCCAAGAGATATTGGATCTTCAAAAAAAGTATTCAGCATCATGGATTCCTGCATGGAATGGGGAGGATGAGTTTGAATTGAGTGGGCCATATGGAGACAAAAGAGTTGTTAACATCAGACACAAAACTTGTAGCTGTAGAAGATGGGACATTAGTGGAATCCCTTGTTGTCATGCTGTGGCAGCTCTTGTATACCTGAGGGAACAACCTGAAAAATGGGTTCACACGTGTTTCAGTATGGAAAAATTTAGGCAAACTTATAGCCATGTTGTGCATGCTGTAGATTCCAAGGATACATGGCCTGCTAGAGAGCATTTACTCCCACCAGATGTGCCCAAGCAAGTTGGTAGAAAGAAGAAACAAAGAACAAAGTCGGTGAATGAAGTTGCTGATAGCAATTTAAAGACAAGGAAGAAGAAAGTTGTGCGAGAGCCTGTGGGAATAAAGTTGAAGAGACAGAACACCACAATCACTTGTGGAAAATGTGGTGGGTTAGGCCATAACAGGTATCATTGCAAGAATCAATTAATAGCATCAACAACGACAATAGCAGCAACATCATCAGCCCTAACAACTTCTACATCCGCCTCATGCTCACAATATGTGGTAGAAAGCACTCCCTCAGCCCCAACATCACAAAGTGAGACAGTTGAACTGCTTGCGTCATTTTTTAACAACATTTCAAGCTCAACATCATCTATCGGAAGAGAGAAGATGCAAGTATTCATCTATGCTTGACTTTGTCATAAAAGTGTTCTTACTTGTGCTCGACTTTGTTTTGACTAATTATTTATTTTTTATTCAACTGTAGGTAAAAAGGAGGATGTGAAGACGAGCAATTTTTTGAGATATGCAAGACCAACAACACAAATTCTTTTTTCTTTTACTAGTAGTTGACATGGATGGGTCTGAATGAGTCCATTTTGGAAGCATCTCAATGTATAGGTCTACTGTGTTTAGAAAATTGGGATGTTTCTCTTTTTTGGCATGATAAAGGATATGAAGGTTCAAAGCGAATAGTTGAAGCTGTGAAAGGTAAATGTGCATTTACAATTGGGGTTGCTGGTTTTTGTAGGGGAGGTGAGTAGCTTTGTTATGAATGATTCTTTGTTATGCATTTGAATTATATTGCCAATACTATATTAAAGTAGTTGCAATACTGTCTGTATTGCAGGAACTTTTCAAAGCCAATACTATCTTAAAGTAGTTGCAGGAACTTATCTGTGCATATGGCTTGCATAACGGAGAAAAAGTATGTCCTGATGGCTTGGAAAGTTGGAACAGCACTTTGTATGACTATACATATATGATTATCTGGTGAAATAAACATTTACACAGCCCACAAGACACTAAAGATATGATGCTTATTTACAGGTTTTTTGCAGGATCATTCTTGCAGGTGGTAACTTTAGTGCAAGTGATTTGCTACATGAAGGTCAGTTTTCCTGTTGCGTAACGATATTTTTTTCGCGTAACTTACTTCTATACCATTTGAAATTTTACAGCACCAGGATTGTGTTTCTCACTTTCGTCTTTCTGGAGCAAGGGAACGGACTTGAAGGTTTACCACTGAGTCACTCAGTGGAGGAGGAATGCTCACTCAGTGGAGGAGGAATGCTTGCTAGATGTACGCGTATACACGTACTTTTGCTATTGTATAAGACATATTGACTTCGACATCAATGAAAGGAAGATTACTCATGAAGTTGAACCTTTAAAGTCTCCTTTTTTCTTCTGGTCTCTTTCTTCATGAGTCATTGGCCAACTGTTTTATTATAAGGTATATTCAGTCGATCCAGTTTGGAAATTTCCACATTACTTGTAAGCAACTGGGTCTTGCCTCCTTATTAAAGCAGTTGGTTACTTATATCTCATAGTTTAGTAATGTGTGTCGCATTGGCATGATCCTGCAATGAGTGGTTATAATCTCTTACATGAAGGCACATTTTTGTGTGGAATGAAGGCACATTTTTCGAATATCCACCACAACTTGCTCGCTCCTCCATGATTCTTTCAATGTCATGCAATCCACCACTACTCTTCACCATATTTTCTTTTGCTTGCTATGAATGTGAAAAACAGAACTTTCATGTCCCTTTACTTTGATCCTCTTTCAGGAGTGTTCCTTAGTGGATAGCAAGTTCCAATGTTGAACTTAGGATTAGTGCAAGACGCTGACTTTTCTTTGCCAACTCATTGCTCCGCTAACATGACAGACCTTGGTGTACAATTTTTTGAATCTAGTGATATAAATCTTCTGAATGTGCGGTTGCAAGTAAATGGACTACAAGACAAGCAAAACTGAATTTGCACCCACATCAAAAAATCAAAAGTTCCAAAAGCTTTCGAGTAAGAATGCTAAATGAAGAGGCCTTGAGGGTCACAATGCACTGTAAATATAGTTCTTGACTAAAATAGTGAGCTATGCGTGATTTCATCCTCTTTTCACATGGAAGCAGAACGCCAAAAAACTCAGTGTAAGTTCATCTTAAATCCTACTCAAGCATTACCCTGTCTAGCCAGCTTCTTGCTGTCCAAGAAATTAATCCTCGAAAGCAAATGATATTCTTCAAGTCCATATGAATTCAATGCAGAAAACAGTTAAAATTGACATCCTACACTTTATAAAAGAATATTAAAGCAGTACAGTTTACACATGACGCTAATAATATATCATAATCTTACTCTGACAAATTACATCAAGGCTTTAACTATAGATATACCAACAAAAACCAGTCAGCCAAAAACCAGCACATCAGGATGCATCAGTGACAACATCTGGCGGGAATTCCCCATCGATCTTATTGTCTCGCTTTGACATCATTGTACAGAATAATCCAAGGACATCTGCGGCCGAAATTGTTGAATCCAATCGACAATTACAAGGAACAAATGGCCAACACCCAAAAGGCAGTAACATTGCAAATAGTCAAACTGATGTTTAATTACTTCATCACTCCACCGGATGGCGCCATTCTAGCTCACTATATCGACCTCCATAGCTCCAGAAACTGCAGGTTCTGAAAACTGCGCGGAAGCAGACTTGGGGTCCGCTGCTGCAAACAGACTCATAATATGAGCAGCAGCCGAGTCAACTTCCATCACCGAAGCCCTTGGAGGAGACGCCGGTTGCACCTCGACATCAGGGTAAGCCTGCTTAAATCTTGCTTGCAGCCCTTCTTCTACTAATCGTGCGCCGCTCAACTGATTACCAAGTGACAACCACCTGAAAATGACACGAACCATCAAAAGAGACCTCAAGGCAACGATAATACCAGGATGAGATTCTTTTGGTAAAAATTAATCAATATACATGACAAGAGGGCCTTCACCTTGGAAGAGTGACAATCCTAAGGTTATGGGCAAAACACATGCATTACCCACTTATTAATCATTATGAAATTGTTTGTTCATCAGATATATACAGTGGTCCAAAATGCCTAGACTCTTCTACCGTCCATTGTCCATAAGAGGAATATGCAAGTTTCACTTTTCTTCGGCAGCTTATTCTTATTTTCAAAAATAAAGGACAGTAAATTGAATAACAATACCCTGCATGAGTGTTGTGCATGCGAGCAAACAACTCTAATTTTCTTGTCCTCGGACTAATCCTCTCCAGCATTCGAAACATCTGCAAAAACAGTGCTTTCGTTAGCATAAATTACAACGGACAATCTACGTTCTATAATATTTGAAAAACTCGAGAGATGTGGCTTCTGCGGTGCACAAGTTAGGTTGCACCAGCATCTTCAGGTATATATAAAGACATTCACCATTTTAAGATCATAAAAGTGCTCCAAACCCGAAGACAAAAAAAACAGATTTCACGCAGTTTGGATCGAGTTACAAGAATTAGTGTGTGTTATTCACTAACCTCGCCTCGCCTGGGGGTTTGGTACCTTCTAGTTATTACTTAGAAGCTGTTTGCTTGTTTAAGACTTCCATTGTGGAATTACTACCGGCAAAAAGGGAAGTAAAAATATCAAAGTGTGAATGTGCTGCACTCCCACATAAGAAACACTTAGAAGCCAAATGACACCATCAGCTCCTTAAAAAACTGACAAAATTACAAAAGTCCACTGCACACAGCCTAGCCACAGAGAATGAATCCAGCAACCAGAGTATTTGCAATACAATTACTTAACAAACAACCGCCACACACAATCTGTTGAGTACCTTTTCACACGATATAAAGGACTCAGATTGGCGTCTGCAATCTTCTTTAGCGAGTGATAAACAGTATTCCTTCAATTGCGACCCACCTTTTCTCGCAAAATTTAAGAATGGGCTTTGCGTGAAATCTAGCATAGAGAAATTGTAGTCTACTTCCACAATTTAAGAATGGGGTTCATGCAATAAACGATAAAACATGAGATAGTGGGTTCATGAAAACAGTAAAAAAATTGAAAAGTATGGACCACGGAGGACGTGAAGAGACCACGGCTTATTCCTTTACAATCAGAAAATGCACTATAAATAATCAACTCACCGTCGTCGCTCACATTACGTAGTATTCCACGACATGCCCACGCCTTGTCAACATGTTACTTCAAATATTGCAATCGCCTTCTTTTGGACGGAGGAAAGACAAGTTGAACCAATTTAGGAACTGAGAAACAAACGAAATTTGAAGATTAGAAAAATTAGGATTTCAAATCAGAGCTCCAATTTGGAAAACTAACCTCGACGGATTCACCCAACGAAAGACACGAACGCTTTGTGTGAATCGTAGGAGAGGTTCTCCGCTGAGGTGCATCCTCTAATCCCTATTTTCATGCCACCCCAAAGAGGTAATCCATGTTCAAGAGATTGTTTGTGCCAGAGAGCCTTCTTCCAACTTCAAAGAGAGAAAACAACGACATTTATTCAGATACAGGTAGATTTGCTTCAATTCTCCAATTTCATCTGTTCCCACAACATCAGTAAAGCGACAGAACACATCTTCCACCTCCGACCTAACACACCGATTCAGCAGATCGCTCCAAAACAAAAGCCAGTCCGCATTGCAGACTGAATCGTTGTTCTTGGACGCCAGAGATTAACAATGAATATGCGCGCACTTTACCATTTCGACATGTCCAGCGAACTTAGGAACACGCCGCAAAATAGCATCTCCGGGATGGAGACGAGATCAGGAATCTTCGTACGCACGTTCGACGCTTACGGATTTTGTCCGAATCGAAACATTCATGAGCCGAAAGAGGAACCCAGAGCAAATTTGGTAAGCGCAAAATCGCAGAGAATGTCGCGGAGGCGGGGAACTTCACCGTCAACCCTTCGAATGCGAGCACGAACGGAGGATCAATTCTTGTAGCTGTAGAAGATGGGTGAAGGAAAGACACGATCGCCCGGTCACACGTCGCTGCCCCCGCCGCCGATCGCACGCCGCCGACCGGTCACGCACCGCCGGTCACCCACCGCCTCAGTCTTTCAGGTCATCCCTTTCGTTCATCAGAGTGGATTGAGGGTTTTCTTTTTATCAGAAGTGGGTTGGGGTTGGAAAAAGAAAAACGCAAGTTTTGCTTTTATAAAATTGCCTTTTCCTTTGATTCAGATTTTATTTGGACAAAACTGCCCTCGCCGGAACAGTAACTTGCTCGCCGGCCGGTGAGCATTTGACCGGCTGGCGAAGCCAGGCCCCAACTTGAGACTGATTGGGAACTTCGGGCCCCAATTTGAGACTGATTGGGCACTTCAGGTCCTTATTTGGCACTACGTCCACTTTGGACCCTCTTTTAGGAAAATGACCCCACTTTGGGTCCTTTTTTGAAATTTTCCCTTAAGTAATTGCACATTTTTTCGCTAAGATAAATTAATTGTTCATATTCTTTTACTCAAGTTGTTTCATTTCTTCTTTCAAATTATTTACTCAAATTATAGTTAGATATATGCAAGCAGGGCGTAAGAAGTATTTCTACTAATTCGACAATGTGTAACATGATAAAATCAGGGAAAGGCGTGGGCTTTTTAAAATATTAGAATTACAAAAGAACATTGTAACTATCGTTAGAGTAAGTTGTACGTTTAGCTATTAAAAATAGACATGATGAGCAAAATCATCAGTCAACTAGGATTGTTTGAATAATTATTCACATTATTTCTTTTCTTCCTAATTATTTTTTTTTCAAATCATTGATAGATATAGGCAAACAAGACTTGGAAGATAATCGTTTTATTTCCTAATATTTCAGCAGACTCACCGAAAGCCTTCGAGATTTGGTGGGAATCCATTTCTAAACAAGACCGAAGGCGCGTTTGTTTCGGGAAAAATGAATAATGTGGAAAACATTTTCCAAAAAATGATCACCTGAATCACTTACAAAAATGAATGAACGAAAAATATTTTCATTATCAACGAAAATATTTAGACATAAATTGTGATCAATAATAACAACATTTCTTATTAGCTAATTATTTCAAACAACACAAACGGTTATTTTTAAGGAAATATTTTTCAATTCATTCATTTTTTCGCAAAAGAAACGGAACCTGAATGTCTTTCATTGTTCGGCAGGAGTTTAACCACGGAATCCTCCATCGTCATCGGCAACCCCCAGAGACTTGAAGGAGATCAAAAGAAGAGAACTTTCTCGAGGGAGGATCTTGATCGCCATTTCAAGCAGATGTTTTTAAGCATTTAGATGGAGCCGACTGGAGTTTAGAGCCTGCATTTCTATCCTCCATCCCCGCAACAGACGACAATCGGGAAGATCCTTCTACGCCAAAACCAGAGAGGTCGTGGATGACACCTGTGTCGAGATCCAGCAAGAGATTCATATTGCCATTGAAGAGATTTGCTATCGCGGAATGATAGCTAAGGACTAACTTCATGGCAACAGATAACTAGATGGAGTCAACCAAGCCCTACAGAGCAAGTGCGGGAAAATTACCAAAAAAGTCCTAAACTTTTTGAAATTGTACCAATTCAGTCCTAAACTTTTTTTTTTGGCCATTTCAGTCCTAAACCTTTTACAATTGTGCCAATTCAGTCCATCCGGCCACTTTTGGCTGGCTGGCGCTGACATGGACGCCGGGCGGCTGACGTGGCATTATTTTAATATATATATATATATATATATATATTTTTTTTTTTTCCTTCTTTCCCCTGGCCGGGAGGCTCGCCGGCGAGGCCGAGCTCGCCAGCCATGGACGACGGCGAGGCCTCGCCCAGATCTAGCGCCGGCCGACATCCACGACAGCGCCGGCCGGCCAAAAGTAGCCGAATGGACTGAATTGGCACAATTGTAAAAGGTTTAAGACTGAAATGGCAAAAAAAAAAGGTTTAGGACTGAATTGGCACAATTGCAAAAGGTTTAGGACTTTTTTGGTAATTTTCCCGAGTAAGTGCTCTCACAAAGAATCCTCTTGCGACTTTTGCAGCAAGAAAAAGAAGCATTACAGGAAGTTCCGGTACCAAACTCCCAGAAGAAGCAGCAGATGGAAAGTCCCTCGAAAGAAGAAACGCCCAGGAAAGCAAAAATCTGATAAGTGAACCATTAGTGCCGGAAGCGACACTTTGCCAAGAACTGCTCGCATGCCCAGTAAAGAGGCATGCGTATGGTTCAGACAATCGAGAAGAAGTCAGGTGTCGAAGATGATCTTCAGTCTATCTTCTTCCTAGAAGACGAGCCAACCTCAAAAACCATACGTGCCATCCAAACCCTGCCCCAGACCAGTGATGATCCTGATGGGGGTATATTTTGCTTCTCTCCAGAAGTCCATATCCCAAAAATCCAAAGTATCCAGTTAGCCCCCCATGTTCCAGTACAAATTTTCCTGTCCAAAATATGACAACCCAATCTCTGGAGCCAGTGATTTTATCCTTGATCCAAATATTCTTCCAGGATCATTCCCGGGAACCATTCACCAAATACTTCATCGATATCGCCTAAGGAGGAAACCCATTAAAATTCAGCATTTCTCCCGGTGCTCCTTCACTACCAAAAACTTCGGTTCTCCATCACCTGATCGAGATATTGTTATTAGTTGGGGTCGCTGAACCAAAGTACCTAAGCTCGTGATATTGTCCAGTGGAATTCGTTATAAAGGACAATTGAAAACAGTCATGTCCGAACATCTTATCTCGTCCAGCTACGCGAGCTCGACCCAAATGCTCAAACTCTAACGGGTGTTTGTGCTTGAGTCCCATACTGAATTCCTCTAGGAATGGCCCAATCCATTGTGGAAAAACTCTGAATTCTTCATTCTTTTTCCTTTCAAGAAGAATGAAGTCATCAATCTCACAAAAGCGAGTCATTCTGGGATGAATCCATAGCATGCACAGGTTGCTCAAAAAGTGCGGTCAATTAGTCCAACAAGGAGTAATCGAACCATCAAGGTCCCCGCGGGCATGTTCAGCTTTCTACGTCAACGAAAAAGCTGAGACTAGAAGAAAGATGAGGCTTGTCAATAATTATCAGCCACTTTCAGTTTCTACAAGTTGGCAAGTTTCTTCTGCCAACTGAAAGGCCTTATTTCCAAGTCTTTCCCGCGCGAAGGTGTACAACAAATTGGATCGGAGGCAGGATTTTGTCAACTTGGAGTCCATCCAGAGGAAAGATTGAAAACAGGCATCTGCATCCCGAACTGACATTTTTAATGGACTGTTCTCCCTTGCGGTCTCAAGACTGCCCGTCGTTATTTCAAAAAGCCATGTGCAAAAATTTTCCAACCCATCACGACCAATGCTTTTTCTACACAGCCGATGTCCTACCATTCGGCCCACACAAA